TTGTATCACAATAGTGTGTCTTCCTATTCAACTTTTTCTCATTAAACCAAGGTCCTCCTTGCTTGTTCAGGGGGACATTAAAGAACTGATGACACTCTTGGAAAAGAGAAAAGAGAAGGACATCAAATGCTTTTTCAGGTCCTGGCCAACAATCCCCCAGATATGATTGGTTATTTTTAGAAGCTGTTTGTTGCACATTGCTGTGCACAAATTGGCTGCAGTGTTCCCCTACAAAGCACAATATATTTTACAGTCTTGCAGTCACTACACAATACAGTATATCATGAGAAACACTTTGAGATTACCTTCTGACCTGAAAAGCCCTATATCAAATTTAAGGATTATTTATTATTACCATTCACTTCATGGCTTTTTGTGGCACATTGCTGTGTGTGAATTGGTTCGCAGATTATGTAAGCACTGAACGTTTCAAAGATGTAATAGAGCACTATATAAAATGCAAGCATTATTATTATACTGAATAATATGGTATTTGGTATAGCATCTTTTACTTCAGGGGGCTGTCTCAAAATACTTCACATGATACACTGTAAAGTGCAGAACTGTGTGCTTTGTGGGTAAATGTGGCAGCCCATTTTTTGCACAGCAATAGCCCACAAACAGCCATGATGTGAATGACCAATTTCATTTGGGGGATTGTTGAATAGGGAGAATGGGAAAAAACATCTCTACTCTTTTCATGGGAGCCTGAACAGAAGGGACCTAGGTCTAACATCTCATCCTAAGGGCAGCACTAACTTGTTTGCAATCAACATGGTGATGTGGGAATAACAGTAATAATAATCCTTGCATTTGACATAGCGCTTTCCACATCTTCTAGACGTCTCAAAGCGCTTCACAGAATAGACTGTAAAGTGAATTGACTGTATATTTGTGGGTGAAATGCAACAGCCAATTGCGTACAGCAGTGTCCCACAAACTGTCGTGGATTGAAATGACCAATTTATTATTGCTTTTTTTCTTGAGGGATTATTATCAGATTGTGGAGTAAGAAAACTTACCCAGGTTTCACCCTGTGGGGTATTGAACCCAGATTTCTTGCTTGCAAAGCGAGTGTTTTAACCACTGAGCTACAGGACTCTGTATAGATTTTACACAGCTAATGTGTCCAAGTGCAGTGGCGGTGTACAAAGATAATACATTAGCTTTTGAAAATAAAAATATTTCATATATTTGCTATGAGATTTATATGATTTTCAAAAATACAAACCTACTGGAGACAGTACGGTTTTGGTGGTTCTCTAAGGAGACACTCTAGTTTGTGAGGAGCCACAGTAAGTTGTCATCCATCCTCAGGGCGTAAAAGAATAAAACAAAACTAATGTAAAATGACTGTTTGGTGTAAGGGGGAGCAATGTTCAGTAGTTGTGGTGGTGGTGGGGGTTGCGTGTTGCATAGACTTTGCAATAGGAATTTGTTACGTAAATTGCTCGTTGTTGTGTTCAGCAGCAGCATTTCCGATTAGTAATTGAACTGCTGCAGAACCACTGGGGAAAGCACTCACTCAACTGCTTACACATTGACCCACACCATTTTACACTAACATTGCAAACACAACCCATTTTTTTTGGAAAAAAAAGCAGTAACAACATTAAAAATATAAGAACAAGTAATTTACTCGGTGGCACTATTTATTTTGGGCAAATATCAGCATTTTTAAACCATTGCAACGTGACACCCTCGGGCTTATTTTCACTGTGGGCAATTTCACATCACCAGGAATGTTACGCTTCAATTACAACTGACTGCTTAAATCACAGCCCTTCAATTGCGAAAGCCCGACGTGGTTTTTTTCTGATAACTTTTCGGGTGCGTGTTCAGTTGGTGTGAACTGGACACTTTGCACAACGCTTTCTTCAGCCCGATCTGTTTTGGTAATGACAGGGGTTTCGAAACGTTTTCAAGTGATGTGTGTATATGTGGTGTGAGTGAGTGTGTGTGTGTGTGAGAGAGAGAGAGAGAGAGAGAGAGAGAGAGAGAGGGATGCACACAAGAGCGATGACAAGAGTATTAGGTTTTTTTTCCCTGTATGTGTTCGAGAAAGAGACACCCAGACAGATAAATTATATCACCACCCGCGATGTATTTGTGTTGAGATCAGTGGAAAACGTAGCTTAAGACAAGCATTTGATGTGCGTACAATACGCGACAGTGGGGAAATCATATTTTAACAGCAGTGAATTTTTATAAGAGTCTTTTTTTTTTGGCTGATTGCAAACCCAGTCAGTTTGTTTGCTCGATGCAAATTTTCGGGCAAAGCAGCTCACACGTTAACTGGAGAATCTTTTCTGTCAGAATGACGGTTCTTTACTCATCGTTTATTTGGCCCAAATATTTGACGCACATTCATTAACATGGGTGTGGGGCATGTGAGAAAGCTAATTTGTTTTAATATATGATCGGTATCGTGAACGAAGAGTGGAAGTATAGAGAAAATGATGAGTGCAATAAGATTTACTGTTACACACAACTTACCTTCATACCAATGTTCAGCTGGAAATCTTATGAATGCCCACTATTACATCCAGTGTAACCTGCTGACATGTGCCTTTGATGGGAAATCCTAGGGTTAAATTAGCGATTCACTTCGTGTCTCTTTGTGGGACATGATTTGTACGCAAATAGGCTGCTGTGTTCATCTACTAAATACACTGTCACTACACTTTACAGTGAAATCATTTGAAGTGCTTTGAGACATACTTCCAAAAGTGCAGGGCGCATGTAATAAAAAAAACATACTTTTTTTAAAAAATCTGTTACACTCTGACCCGCAAATGTGGGTACAATTTGGGTTTTCATATTTTCTTGTGACCAGTCTGTCATACTGCCCCCCCCCCCCCCCCCCCCCCGCTGCACACATCAGCCACGACCTGAGAGGATGGCAGAACAGGCTCGAGGGGCTGAATGGCCTATTCCCGTTTCCATGTTCCCTCTCAGACGCAGTCAGTGAGTTAAGGTTAAGACGCTATTTGTCAGTATCAGGGCACAGAGTTTTGTTAAAAAAAAGGAGAGAGAGAGAGAGAAAGAGAGGTCTGAAAGGAAAGTGAATCAGGTCTGGGACTGGAGGCAGCAGTTGAACACTCATCGCTGCTCAGCCAGTAGGTGGCACACGCGCTCTTTGACTGAACCCCTTTAACCCATTGCTGGAAATGCAAAATGTATTCGGAACCACAGCTCTGGCTCTTTTTATTGGGTTTTTATTCTCCAGCTGCAATATCCGCAGGGACTGAACACCGTGATGTTATTCTTGTTCACGCCAGCGCTGACTGTAGAGCTGAGCAGAAACAGCCAGCGTGACACCCGGACGTATTTTAACGCTATGTTGTTTTAATGCAGATTTCCTGCCAACACAGTGCAACTCAGGGACCATCTCCCAAGACAGTGGGAACGTATAAAACGCGGTGTAGTGTTTTGCGTGTGTGTGCATTTCGGGGCTGTTCGGATGAACGACATAATACATTTCACATTTCATTTGCAAGTCATTTCGTGACAGGAACTCCCCAGTAGCTTTGAGCGTGACATTGTTATTGCAAATTAAAGTGGTCTCTCGCCCCTTCACCTCCACCCACCCCCCATCCCCATAAATCTAAACCGTCCAGTTCTCGCCCTGATGGTGAAATCCTATCTGCGTATGATTTCTTGGGTTCGCTGTCACACGGTGTGTGGGCAATATCGATCTGCAGAGCATGAATTTAAACTGATAGCAATTTCTGACACTGTGGCTTTGAAGTTTAAACGCTTGATTACGCGCTACTGTTCCCTTCTCTTGGATTGCCTGAGCTGGGCTGGGCTGAGCTGGGTTGGGCTGAGCTGGGCTGGGTTGGCCTGAGCTGAGCTGGGCTGAGCTAGGCTGGGCTGAGCTGGGTTGGGGTGAGCTGGGTTGGGCTGAGCTGGGTTGGGCTGAGCTAGGCTGGGCTGAGCTGGGTTGGGCTGAGCTGAGCTAGGCTGGGCTGAGCTGGGTTGGGCTGAGCTGGGTTGGGCTGAGCTGGGCTGAGCTGGGCTGGGCTGGGTTGGGCTGGGTTGGGCTGAGCTAGGCTGGGCTGAGCTGGGTTGGGTTGGGCTGGGCTGGGCTGGGCTGAGCTGGGTTGGGTTGGGCTGAGCTGGGCTGGGCTGAGCTGGGTTGGGCTGAGCTGGGTTGGGCTGGCTGGGCTGAGCTGGGCTGAGCTGGGTTGGGCTGAGCTGGGCTGGGCTGAGCTGGGTTGGGCTGAGCTGGGCTGAGCTGGGTTGGGCTGAGCTGGGTTGGGCTGGGCTGAGCTGGGTTGGGCTGAGCTGGGTTGGGCTGAGCTGGGCTGAGCTGGGCTGGGCTGAGCTGGGCTGGGCTGAGCTGGGCTGGGCTGGGCTGGGCTGAGCTGGGCTGAGCTGGGCTGAGCTGGGCTGGGCTGAGCTGGGTTGGGCTGGGCTGAGCTGGGCTGGGCTGAGCTGGGTTGGGCTGAGCTGGGCTGGGTTGGGCTGAGCTGGGCTGGGCTGAGCTGGGTTGGGCTGAGCTGGGCTGGGCTGGGCTGGGCTGGGCTGGGCTGGGCTGGGTTGGGTTGGGCTGGGCTGAGCTGAGCTGGGTTGGGCTGAGCTGAGCTGCTGGCTGGCACCCAGCAAAAAAAAAAACGTGCAGCGGGGTTTTATTTTGCCTTCTTTCGTGCAGTTTAGGATTAGACAGGAAGGCGATGAGAGAAGCCGTCTGGAGTTTGTGCCCCCGTTGGTGAGATGGTTGAGTCCTGGTTCAAGGTTGCTGTGGTATCGCAGAAACACACTCACTCGCGGTAGTGTCGAGCGCCGCGGAGCCAACAAACCGAACCGATCGGCGGCACAGCACACACACGGCGCTGCAGCATGAAGCCAAACTGCAAAAAACACGGGATTTCCACCCAAGATTCGTCGACACCCATTTTCCGGACGGGATGCGTTAAATGCCGCGGGAGCGGGGATCCTCTCCCCGGGAAGGCGATGGGGACGAAAAGTGGAGTTATATTTTCATACCTTGTCTTTTTATTGATGGTCACATGTGTGAAAGGTAGGTTCTGGGGCTGCCCTGATCCCGCTGTCCCTCACGTACAAGGGGGAGGGAGGGGGGGGGGTTGGGGGTGGGGGGCTAAGAGAGCACCTGCACTGGCTGATATAAGGGGGAAAAGGGGAGACATTTTCACAGTAAAGGGCTGTTTGGGGAGGCTGGGAAATTGCATTGGAGATGCCTGGACTGGCGTTCAATGCAGTAATTCAGCTTCGGCTCAATAAATATTCTTGCAGAATGCTCAAACAGATACGTGAGTTGCCTCATACATCCCTTAACTATTTGAATTTCGCCCAGGCTGTGTTGTCACGTTAGTCCTGTTAACATGGGGTTTGGGGAGGGGTCTGGGGGGTGGTGGGTTCCTGGGTTTAAAAGATAATAGTTAACGATGGTTTGTTGTTAAGATGCTTAATTTACTCCCAGTTTAATTTCTGACGTGAATAGCATCCGATTCAAGAACTAGAGGGGGTGGTGTGTTTGGGTGAAGATTGCACAAAGCTTCACTTTCACGTCTGAAGATCCAGCATTAGGATGGACGAGGTGCTGTAGGACATATACACAGAGGCTCTATTATACCGGGGCTATCAGGATTCATACACATTTTTAATGAGACGTGTTTAGATCTTCTTTCAGTCTGTAGAACGGTATTGATACGGTACTATGTCACGTATTAATGGAACAGGATTAAGAATCACCGAATCCAGTCTTACAAAGTCTAGTCCTTAAACAGAGGCAGCGCTCAGGGAGTTGGAAACGCTGTGTACCTGTGCAGACTCTAGAAGATAACACCCCGAATCGTTTAATATCGCGGCGTGGATGGGTTATGTTTCATTCCCTGTCATGTTATCATGGCAGTATTAAACTGCAGCAGTCTTGCAAAAAAAAAATAAGCTATGTTATTTGTCTCAAAATGTATTTTTTTTAAAAAAAGATACCAGCGACCGCTTGGCAAGCTTTGCAAATCATACAGCGAATTTAATACATTTATTCAACCTGTTTATGTCATTTAAGAAAAAAAAACGACAGGAACAGTGGCAGAAATGATTAATGGATTGCTTGATATGGATTGAATTTCTTGCAGCAGTCCAGAACGGCTGGCGGGTATTAATTTTATCTGGAATATATTCTGTAATGCCCGTTACTTTCCATTGCCTTATCGCCTGGACTCATTGGGGGATCGCTTTCCTTTCAATTCTATGCACTTGGTTTTCTCTCTCTCTCTCTCTTTCTCGCTGTTGGCAACAAGGGGTGTCGTCTTGAACTGAATTCAAGTTGCTTCTGTATAAAGTGGGTTATTGTAGGGCTTGCAGCTGGTTCTCTCGATGAATAAAGCAACGTATTTGCCTTTCATTGCTGTCAGTCCGGGTTTCATGCATCCCGAGGGGAGGGGGAAAGAGAGTCTATCACATTGCTGGTAGATAGTCTGACACCATTTCTTGTTGATGACTGGTTCTGTGACACTGAACTTTCAAACTGAGAGGTTTTAGGGGATAGGCAAACACCCCTACGTCCCTTTGGGGCTATATTCCGTATTGTACATAGCTTGATGCTATTAACGAAAACCTTCTGATAATAAGTATTATGGCAAATACATCGTTTTGGAGGCCTGCCTGATGCACTTGGCCTCGGTGATTTATTGGCAGCAAAAAGAACGCTTCAAGCCGTGCAATGCAGTCACAAATTTCAAAGCTACAGTGGAAACCTGTTCAATTTCCAGATGCAGAGAGGGATTTCGGATTGTAAGGGTTAGCATTCTGGTTCCCTGCTTCTTTTACAAACTCAGACATATTAGTGGATCGCTTAGCTCGCTGATGGCGAGCAAAATACAGTGCATTTTTAAAATGTACTCCCTGAAGCGCTTTGAGACGTCTCCAGGACGTATAACAAGGCGTTATACCAAACGCCAGGATCGTTATTCATTACGGTTAAACTATCACAAGCGCCTGGAATGAATACCATACGTCTGTGAGCAACTGGAGAGCCGAAATCTGACCGACTTTCCCTCTTGTTCGCTTTGGGGAATGTGCAATTCTAGTTCTGGACCACTTGCCACTTGTATCCTTCATAAGTTTTCTTGTTCCAAATAACGGGCTGCAGGCTGTGTGGGGGAGGGAGAGAGGGGGGGAGGGAGAGAGGGGGGGAGGGAGGTGCTGGGTCAGAACTGTTCGCTTGGAGGCAGCATTCCGGTGAGTTGATGCAGAGCACTGGGCAAAGGGAGCCTTATCCAGGTGACTAACCTCATCTTTTGGTTAACACTCCCACTTACACCCGCTATCTACAGTAATTCGGCACAATTTTGAGTCAGTGCTTTGTCACATTTCACTTGAAATCAGCTTTCCACAGCAATTACGCCCCCCCCCCCCCCCCCCCCCACACACACACCCTCTATTACCCTCAAACAGCAACTCAAAGATCTGTAGGGATCGAAACCCGTGTATAACCGACGGATGGTGTAAAAAGTTGGCTGGGGGGTGGGGGGGGGGGGGGTGAGGGATAGAAAAAAAAAAGTTGGTGTGAAAATGAGCAGATGCCACGCACGCAGACGGGACGCGTTTCCGTGCGGTGGTGCTCTTTTGCAGAGTGCAAGCGGTTTGCAGGCGGCTGCTCGACACGTGAACACCCAGTGCGCGTTGGTCTGCGTGATGCATTCACTCAATGCATCAATGTCGCCGCCTCCCGCAGACAGGTCAGCCACGGGGATTGATCTGCTTTAAATCCCAACTCATTTCACGCCAAAAGTGATGGGGATTCGCGCCGCCGGGTCGAGCTTTCAGGACTTGGACAGCGACGTTTTTTGCCTCCACGTCCCCGAAGCTTGGACGGAAATATTCACACTCACACACACTCACACACGCACACACACATGCATCCCCCCCCCCCCCCCCCCCCACACACACACACAGACACACAGACCCCCTCACGCACATCACACCTTACACGCTCGTGTACACAAACCCACACACACACACACACACTGTGGATATGGATAAACACGTCTCTTGGATTGGGAGGGAGAAAGGGAATGGAAGGAGCAAATCAAAGCCCCCCCCCCAAAAAAAAAGGGCGGTGAATGAATAATACTGAAGTGGCACAGTCTTTTGTTAGGACCGGTGAAACAGGAGAGAGTGGGGTACAGGGTAAAGCCCTCGTTTGGTGTTGGCTGTACTGTCACCGACATTCACCCGCTTGTGGTTTTGCAGTCTGCCATCAAACATCAAATCGAGCCACTTGCGAGTTTATTCTGGATTGAAGTTGCCTGTGGGTTGTGCAGGGGGGGGGGGTGTGGTGTGTGTGTGTGTGGGGGGGGGGGGAACCTGTTTCCTGACCAGTGGGTGTGTTACAGCCTCAGGAAAAAAAATGCTCATTAATCCAACAGCATTAAAGCCAGTTCTGATTCATCAGCAAGTGACGCATTCACAGTTATTGGGGACTGTTTGATCTCTTTATGTTTAGCAGCGAGCGAGCGAGGGAGGGCGACAGTGCAATTTTGCAAAACAATTCATTTGCGGCTGGATCGAAGGCTTTTGCACAAGGCAACACTGTGGATATTGGTCATTTTCCTTTTTTTTGTATTCTGGATCTGACGATGGCTTTGGCACCCGCCTAGTTTGGAAGTAGCTTCCCCACCTGTATTGGGCACTTACGAAAAGCGCACAGTCAATATAGGAGAGGAGAGAACATAGCTTGAGAGCAGGGGAGAGGGAGAGAGAGAGAGAAGAGGAGAAAGAGGGGGTGTTTTGCTTCAAGTGAAAATCCTGGCAGAGACAGGGAAGAGGCGGAATCGAATCATTTCGCAACGCTTGAAACCTGTAATACTTTTTAGAAAAAATCCTGGGGCAGATGTGATCTCACTGAGACACACAGAGGTGCAGAGGCGACAAGGGAGGATTTGTCCCCACGTTGTGATGATGGCGGTGTGGTGTCTGTGTGTGTGTGGGGGGGGGGGGGGGGGGGTGGGGGGGGTGGGCACTGAACAAGCAAGTCAGTGGGCAATAATCCTCAGGCTCCTGGAAAGCGGGGTGTGGGTGGTGGTGGTGGTGGTGGGTGGTGGGGGGGGGTTTAATTCCGCTCGATGTGGCCAAGACAAAAATCGCCCAGTCCCCACTGCAGTCATTGGCAATGAGATGAGATTAATACGTTCAAAGGTCTATCGCCTGCTCCAGCCATCACGAACGTGGCGTGTTGTAAGGAAAAAAAAATCATGTCAATTACAAGCTGCTAACTGACTGCTCGGCTGTGCCTTTCATAATTCATCAGCAACGCACAAGCCCCAGACAGGGCTGCACAGCCTCTGCCAACAGACTTACAATTGCTGCAGGTTTTCTGTAGCTCAGCGAAGACTGGTCGCCCGGTGCTCCTCACACCAACTCCTGAAGGCGTAAATGCTGTCCATAGTTACCCAGAAAGAATAACGAACGGGTGGGGGGTGGCAGCACTCAAACAGCGGCCAGGACTTCATTGCATTTGTTGCAACGCGCACTTCAACTCGAGCAGTTTGGAAATTCAGCTCTGTCCTGCAAGTCCATGCTATCGCCATTGTGCAGGTTGTGAGCGCCGTGGACTTGTATTATTATTCATCTGGGAGTCCCGAGGAGAGGAAGGACTACAGTTAAGGGTTGGGGAGATCAAGGATTTTGTAGTGGAGGGAGACACACTGTCATACAAACAAATGTGTAAAACGTTCCACCCTTAACAAATGTGGTTGCTGATATGTACAGTGAAAGACGTTCAGGGCAATGGATTATCCAAATAACAGGGATCATGTGCTAAACGTATTAATTAGTGTTTATTTGAATTTTTTTTTTGAGGTCAAGTTGCAATTATCCATCTCCAGAGTAATTCATCCAACAGGTTTGTATTTTCCACTCCAAATTTTCACGCTGCCAACTTCTACTTCTGCTGGATTGTCAGGAGTAAATCATTAATATATGGTGGGGTGATCCTTTAAATAGAAAACTAGTCTAATTCAATCGGTTTCATATATATATATATAGGATATGGTT